TACAAATGTGCTTTACACAATTGATGTATGTATGGATTGTGGTAAGAGTTATATGAGCCCCCAATAAAATGATTTTTTTTAAACTGCTGAAAAATAAAGTTAGTAATTTTAAAAGCAAAAAAAAAAAAATGAAAATACCCTGGCTTGAGTCAAGTGCACTTTAATCCTCAAAGTACTAACTTTGCTTTTTAACACTTTAATGAGGCTTTTTGAAGATTTGCACAATACAATAATCAATTTGATTTTGTGACTGCAGCTTCCATGGGCTTTGATTGTGGACTCAAGTAAAATTACCTTCAATGTTTCTGTTAATCATGGTGTAGCTTACTGGTTCATTTACTTTCTTTATATTGATGTATAATCATCCTGGTTAAGTCTTTGATCCTCATCAGCAAGTGCCTCAAGTTCCCTCTCTTTCAGCAAGCAAAGTTCTGTCCTCTGCATACCACAGGTGATTAACATGTCTTCCACCAGTTCTAATGCTATGTTGTTCATACAGTCGAACTTCCTGAATTATTTGCTCAGTACACAGATTGAAGAAGTATGGTAAAAGGAAACAGCTCTGATGCACACCTTCTTTAATTTTAAACTAAGTATTTTCTTCTTGCTCTGTTCAAACAACTGCCTCTAGGTCTATATACAGATTCTACATGAGCACAATGAAGTGTTATATAATTATATTATACAACTTTCACATTTTGTTTGATCACCTTTGGAATGAACACAAATATGGGTCTCTTCTATTCAGTGGGCCAGATAGCGTCTTCCAAATTTCTTGGCACAGAAGAATGAGCACCTCCATTGTTGCATTAATTTGTTGAAACATATCAATTTGTATTTCATTAATTACTGGAGCCTTGCTTTTTCCCAGTGCCCTGAAGTGAACTATTTCCTTCAAAACCATTGGTTCTTGATTATATGCCACCTCCTGAAATGTTTGAATGTGAACTAATTCTTTTTTAGTACAGCAATTAGTGTATCCTTCCGTCTTCTTTTAATGCTTCAATATTTTGACTAGAGAAGACTTTAATATTGAAACTCAAGACTTGAATTTCTTCTTTAGTACTTTCAGCTTGAGCAATGCCGAGTGTGTTCTTCTCTTTTAGTTTTCCTAACTCCAGGTCTTTGCACATTTCAATATAATAATTTACTGATACATCATTAAGTACTTCCTTAAACTGAATTCCAAGGAAAAGAACTTCTGTATCCAAAAGCAAACACCAAAAAAACCCACACCTTTTAAAAAGTTTTGATATATATTTACAAATAGACATTCCCACCAGAAGTGTGTAAGAATGCATGCTTCCACGAATAGTTGTCAGCACTCAGTTTTGATATTTCTTTTTCTCTGTAAATTATAATGGAGAAAATGGTATGTCATTTAAATTACCCTTTTTTTATTATTACTGAGATAGAATACTTTTCATGTTCATCAGACATTTTAATTTTCGTATTGCTCTAGAAATCTGTTTATATTATGTATATATGAGTCTTGCAATTGTTTCTAGTTTTCTCATTAATGTAATGGTTTTGTGCAAAAATACTGAATTTTATATTGCCTATTATATTATACCTTGTTCTTTATTATTCTACCTTTGATATTACATATACAAATATCTTCCCTACTTCAAAAGTACTTTGTTGAGGCATTATTGATTATTATATTGATGGAGAATACAGAAACTAGAATGGTAAATACATTGGTTTTTAAGAAAGTATTTTCTTATTCAGTAAAATATCAGGATGATGCTTGGTCAAATAAGAAAAAGTCAAATGAAATATTTAAAATTCAATTGGCTATAATTTTAAATCATCTTAACATATAATGGTCCTAAGAATACAAATGAATATAAAGCATCTCAGGATCTCAATCATTTGAAGTCCTTTAGAGAAAGGAGAACTACATTAAGATATCTTCATGCTTTATACTCTGAGATGACAATTGCAGGCTTATTAAGTAATGTATATAACTTTAATCCTGGGAAATGAACTAAGATGTTTATCATTCACCCCTTGAGTTTATGGAATCATTCACTTCTTCTAAGATTATAACAAATATTCTCCTTTATTTTTATATTTAATGAAGTTTTCTATGATTTCACAGTAATATTTTTATTTACATTCACATATTGATCTTTTTATCTCCTATAATTTCTAACTTTTATTATTTCTCCTTTTTTGCAAACTGTTAACCCTTTAATGTAGTAGTCTGCAATTGGGATTACATATTATTACTGCCTACAGAGCATTCCTTTTTAAAGGTTCAGGTGTTAAGACTGAATTAAAATTTAGAACAAAGAGGCTTTACAGGAATATTTTTAATCACCACAAATTGGGGGAGAAAGCGGGAACCCATCACAAGGTTGGGTATATAGTCACGCCCTCCCCCCCCAAGGACAAATAACAGAAAGATGGGTGAAGGGAGACAATGGACAGTGTAAGACACGAAACAACTATAATAATATATAATTGATCGAGGATTCAGGAGGGATGGCAGGTGGGGGAGGAAGGTGGAAAAAATAGGATGCCAATGGCTCAAGCAGAAAGAAATTGTTTTGGAAATATTGATGGCAACATATGTACAAGTGTGCTTAATACTATTGAATAATGGATTGTCATAAGATCTGTAAGAATCCCCCAATAAAATGATTAACTAAAAATAATTTTTAAAATCAAATCATTTAAATGAACCCGCTTTTATAAAGAAGGGGCTTAAATCCTCCTTAAAAAACGAAAATAAATCCTTCTAACTTTACGATGGTGTCAACTTTTCAAAATTAATTATTATTACTTCAGTACACTACTCAATAAATCATTTCCCCATTAATCCAAAACCCTAGCCTGTAAACTCTATGACAGTAGAACTATGCCTATGAGGGAGCTTCAAAAAGTGTGTAGTAGAGGGAAATTAAAAGAAAGTGGAATTTTTCCAAGAACTTCTTAAAGCTCTCTTGTGTGTGTGCACATGAACATGTGTAGGTATACTTATGCGGTGAGTCTAAAATATTGCTACTACAGTTTCAGTTCATATATATATAGGTTAGTCCAAAATTTTTTTTGTTTAAACATGACTCTGTGATCAGTAGACGGCTACAGACAAGTTCTTACTCTCATGAGGGTGACTTCAAAAAAAATCCCAATCAAAATGGTAACTTTTGAGGGGAAGCTACTGAGCCAGTTAAATTTAAGGCAAAGGGGTCAGCTCAGAGGTTATTGTGCCTGTTTGGCAAGGGGGGAGGTGGATTCCAAAGAGTTAATCTTGACAGATTTTCTCAAAAGGCACAGGACAATCACAAGGGCTTATTGGGAAGAAGTTTGAAGAAAATAGAAAACTGCATTGGTGAGAAAAAAGCAAGTAAAGTTGCACAATGGATTTTTTTCCCATCATGACAATATACTTGCTCATTCTTCCAGAATAGCAAGGATGTTCCTACAAGAATCCCATTAAGAAACCTTACCACTTTCACCCTACAGCCCTAATTTTTCCCTTTCAGATGTTTTTGTTCCTAAAACGCATAGAACATTTAACAGGATTCGAGTCCCTTGGGGATGTCAAAGTTGTTTTGATGTGAAACAGATCAAAGGGTACATATTCCTTCAGGGAAGGGCTCGAGATACGGAAACACCGCCTTCTTAAGTGTAGGGACCTAGATGGTGAACATGTTGAGAAACATTTTCATATTGTTGTTTCGTAAACATTTATATGATTTTTGTAGCAATACTTTTTCATGCACACACATACCACCGTAAAGTTAGTGTGTGTGTCCATCATGCTTGTCTCTGACCTTCCATAGCATTTTGCACCTGTCCCTCTCGTAACACTCACATAATGTGACTTAAATTTTTGTTCATATGTCTCTCTCTCCCTTCAGAGTTGTGTGTCTCATTCATCTTTGTATTTTGTTTGCTGAATGAATAAATGCATCAGATCGTAAGCAGGTATATGCAAACTGTTCTATCCACTGTGTGAGTCGAAGAAGGTATACACACCAAATTCCATTTCAACAAATAAGATGGGACTTCACAAAGCTCATGGGAAAATTCCATTATCTTTTAATTCCATGCTTCCATGAGCTTTGTGAGGCCCCTTGAAGTATTTTCAAGTTGACTACTCTTATACATCAAAAATACTTTAAACTAGCAAAGTAAGGCATTGTTAAGGGACATATTTGACCAAAAATAAACTTACCTGCTGAATATCTATAGGGATTCAAGCGATTTCATTCTACTCAACGAAGTAGTCCTCAACCTCTTGGATAGTGCCTGTGTGTACTTTTTTTTTTTTTAACCAACACCCTCTTTTGATAAACACAAGAATCCCACACAACCTTGGAGATTCTTGTGCTTCTGAGGAGCACAATACTAAAAGCCCACTAAAAAATAAATATTAAAGTTTTATGTGGTATCAATTCACAGGTTTACCGGAGAGTTAACTCTACAAGCCAGCATGTTCTTGAGCTTTACTCTCGGGTAGTTCAAATGACTAAGACAGGAAATTTCTCTTCTAGTTTTCAAATGCAAACAAACCAACATTATTAAATAAGCTTTTACAAACTGTGTAAGTCCCAGGAAAGTTTTTATTGAGAAGAGGAAACCAGGGATGCTGTTATCTGTCCCCCCACCTTTGAGAATCTTGTGATAAAAATGTATCATAAACAGATGAAAAGCACAAATATGAAAAAAGTCCTGTTTCCTCATATATAACCCCTGCATGCATGTTTAAATGAAGTTCTTTTAAAATGCTCCTTCTCCCTCCCTTTACCCCTCTACCTCTACTTTAAAATAATGTGTACTTCTGGCTAGCAGCAAATTCTTTTACCTCTACTTTAAAATAACCTGTACGTCTGGCTAGCAGCAAATTCTTTTACGCTAATGTGCTATGTCCTTGCCAGATTAAAGAAACACCTGGAAAATTGCCACTAGCTTGGAGGGCTGGGTAAGAGTGGAAGATCATCGAGGAGGCGGAAAAACCAGTTGGAAGAATAGCACTAATTTCTTACCATGCCACAAAGCCATCTTGACCCTCTCTTCTCCCAGGCTGGTGTCACAGTCTCAGGGTTTCCAAAAGCCCCACGTTTAGCAGAGAAACTTGAATCAGGTAGAGATGGAAGGTGTGTTCCTGCTTTCCAGAAGTCCCTAAAGTCCCAAGCCTGAAAAATTAACGTATAAAAATTAATATATAAATGAAAGTATCTCCTGTCATTCGCTGAATCTCTCTTTACAGGCCTAGACAGCACCGTGTTTCCCCCAAGCACCACGAAATTACTGAAGAGAAATAGAATTGGGAGATCTACAGTCAGTTCATTTTGCCACTCAGTGTTGTTCAATTCTGCATAAATCTCTGGATCTTCAGTAAACTCGATTCAGAATCTCAAAGGTTAGATGGGGTGGTCAATGAGCATTATGAATCTTTCCAAATTTGACACTCCAGGCTTTGGGGAAGGAGGAGATCTTTATTAATAGCCTACCCCCTCAGTACCCAACTTTACATTTAAAATCAGTAGAAAGGAGAGAAAATGTTGTGAACACTTCAAGTTTTAAAAATAAATTTGGCATAAGGTAAAAAAAAGGAGGGGATCATAATAAAAAATTAAGAACAATGGTGTTTAGGTCATGGCTCTTCCTCACCACTTCATTATAATTCCCTATGACTTACAAACTTCCTATTAAAAAACAAACTTGCTGCCATCAAGTCATAGTGACCTGATCCTTTAAGTCAGAATAGAACTGTTCCTGTGAGTTTTTGAGACTCTTTATGGAAGTACAAAGCCTCATCTTTCTCCCTAGAAGCAGCAAGTGGTTTTGAACTGCTGACCGTGTGGTTAGCAGCACAACGATTAACCAATATGCCACCACGGTGAGCATATATTGCTTTTATAACCCAAGGAGGAAAGCAAGCCAAAAAGGAGAGAAATATATGAGACCAGTTTAAGTAAAACGAAATCAATTCCGTTAATTCCTATTTTTCAAACTTCAAATCCATTCATAGCACAATACTATAGCTGAGTCCTCACGTTAAAAAGTCTAAGAAGCAGCTCATACTTGTCCTTCAATAGTCTGTAAATTTGCTCTCACTTTGAAATGACTGAATCAACCCCTACTTGCAATAAACTCATCAATATTACCTTCACTTGCTTCATTTGGAATACCTGAATCATGGAAAAGGCCTCAAGTCTTTTCTCGCACTAAACAGGAGTAGGGAATGTGAGGCCCGCGCAGTCATCCAGACCAGCTAACATCACACCCCTCACCGAAGAGAAGCACTTCCAACCACCACATTAGGAGTGAGTTAATGAAATGTTTGACCAATTTTAGCAGGCTAATTTTATTGTTGATAATTTTGTAGGGATGTGAATGATGTCATAAATATCCAAATGGCCCCTGGCCGAAAATAAGTTCCCCACCCCTGCCAAATTAAAGTTAGACTACCCACCACTCACCCATTGCCACTGAGTCAATTCTTATTTATAGCCACCATAAAGGACAGAGTAGAACGGCTCCTTAGGGTTTTCAGAGACTGTAAATACCTTACAGGAGCTGACAGCCCCATCTTTCTCCTGTCGATCTAGCAGCTGGCAGCCCAGAGTTTGTCGCACAGTGCCATCAAGGCTTGGCAAAGTACTATGGCAAAGCAAAGTAAGGTCTACACACCTGTTTCAACTTACCAACAGATTTAACTTAAAAGAAACACTGAAGAAGGGATCTCATTCATAACTGGACACTGCCTGTTGCAAAAATATGAAAGGAACTCACTGGTGCAATAAACAGCAAGAAACAAAGGATAAAAAATAGAAGTTGTCAAAGATTTCATTTCACTTAACATCAAAATCCACCCCTGGAAACAGCAGCCAAGATATTACTTTTGCATTGGAAAAAGCAGCAAAAGAACTCTTTAAATGTGCTAAAGAGCAAAAATGTCACTTAGACTAAAGTGTGCCTGACCCATGCCATAGTATTCTCAACTGCCTCACATGTCTGGGACAGTGAGTAAGAAAGGCTGGAGAAGAACTGATGCATCTGAGTTGCGATATTGGTGAAGAACACCGAACAGACTGCCAAAAGAATGAGCAAACCGGACTTGGAAGAAGTACAGCTGGGAATGCTCCTGAAATGTGAGGGTGGTGAGCCTGTTCTGTGGAACATTATTGAAGAAGGACATTATGCTAGGAAAAGTGGAAGGTCAGTGAAATTGCAGACTTCAAAGAGATGGAGTGACACCATGCCTAGAACAATGGGTTCAAATGTGTTTCTTTCTGTCATACAAAGGGTTGCAGAGACTGAAACCCACTCAATGGCACCTAACAGCAGGGAGAAAGAAAGTGCCATGGTTGACTGATTGCTTTGATTGAGTGGTTTAGTACACGTTGCTTGCCCATTTAAACAACTTCTTAATAAGTTGGTCTTCCTGACTCAGCTCCTAAACCGATCTGCTTTTCTAAGAAACAATCCTCACCTTTTGACCTAGTGAACATCAAAGTAGGTCGCTTTAATCAACACCTCCATTCTCAAAGTGAATGAGTGAAAATGCAAACACAGAAGACGAAAGTTAAATTGAGAATCATCCTTCTAGCCCTTGGGGTGGGGGGTGGGGGGTAAACATAAACCGTAATCTCCAAAATACCGACAGAGAAAAGACAATTATTTGGTTCCATACATTGAGGAAAACTAAGAACTCCAATACTCAGGATTAACTCACCAAGGAAAAGCGCCCCTGGTGACTTATCTGGAAGCTGGAAGTATGCCCCTTTTCCCCCACCCCCACCCTCCACAATTTTGCAGGCAGTTGAGTACAGATTTGAACCGAAAGAGACAAGGCCAAATTTACCATCTCTGTAACTAAACTTGGGTGGGTGCTAATAATGGACAAAGTTTATGTAAAGCGAATTCGCTTTGGTTTCTCTTGTGTTTTCCCCTTCCTCAGAGCAGCTTACACCGATGTTATCAAGGGAGCACATATGCAACTTCTCTGGAACTCCAGGAAACTGATTTGCTGAGATGTTCATACAGATAAAGGAACTTCAGGCTAAAGACACAGGCTTTCCCTTTCAGGGTAAAGAACCATCCACACGCATGAATAGGTAAAAGGGAAACTCGCAGCAACGACTTTTCAAAGAGTTTGTACTCAGCTTCTCGAAGACACACACAAACCTGCGAGTCCAGCGCAAGAGAGAAGGGGGCCTCGACAGGGCTTTGACCCTCAAAGCCATCTATCTGTGCGCGGAAACTTCGCTTGGCCAGCTGAAGGACTAGGGCCGGGCTCCCGAGAAGATGCAGCCTGGTACCGGCTAGAACTGCCCGAGTCCCTCCTCCGAGTGTTAGGCAGCGGCCGCAGGGCGGGGGTCCCGCCTGGCAGAAGAGCGCTCCCCCTGAGCCTCTACTCAAGGGAGTTCAGCGCGGTGGGCCAGGAGCCAGCGGCGCCACGAAGAAACTGTTGAGGTGGGGACAGCCCTTTTGTCTTTACCTGACGCTGGCTGAGTCACAGGCGGCAGAGACCGAGTCCGCCACCGGCGGGCGGGGCGCTCAGTTGGTTCTGGCGGCCAGGACACCAAGTGGAGCGAGCGCCCCACGTAGCCGGCAGAGCTTCATTCACACTCCCCAGTGGAGGAGGGGGGGGAGCGGAGCAGGCGCACAGCTCATGTGACTGGCGCCGCCTACGGGCTCAGTGAGGCCGACGTCCGCGCATGCGCGCCAAGGCCAAGGCCTGCAAGCTCCCGGGGCCCCTCAGCCAAGGTTGGGAGGGGGCTGAGGCCGACCTAGGCGGAGAAAACTGCGAAGATGTTATTGGGCGGAGTTTCAATTCGCGCAATCGCATTAGGTCGACGACCCTGCTTCGCTGCCGTATTGAATACACTGGGCGGGCCCTAATCCAGGACTGGGCGTGTCAATTGTATGTGAGAAGAAATGCTCCTTTAGTTCTCGAGTTTCTGAGTGCCTTGAGTTTTGTCCTCAGAATAAGTTTTCCCCCTGAGGCTCTTGCCCATAGAGTAGTTAGCTAATTCATGTCTTTTAAGCCTCTTTTCTTATATGTATTTTGAGCCAATTAATGTGACTTCATCTCACATATTTTGGGCGTGTTGTTAGGAGAGACTAGTCCTTGGAAAAGAACCTCATTCTTCAAAAATACAAAAACAAAACAGAACCCCAGAAAGGTTAAGGAATGGTGATAAAAGATAGTGAGGTTTGTAGCAAGCAATTTGATCTTCACAGAACACTGGAAAATCCATATCCGCACTGCAGCTATCAATATTATCTTCATTTAAATAGTTACAAAACTGAGGCTCAGAAAAGCACATATTATAGGACCAGAAGAACACCCTGAGTCTTCGGGTTCAAAGCCTTTCCCTAGGTTGGGCATCCTGGTGGCATAGTGGGTTACGCTTTAGTTGCTAACAAAGTCAGTAGTTCAAAACCACCAACCCTCCCTTCTATGGGGCACCGATGAGGCTTTCTGGTTATACCCAGTCCTATAGGGTCTCTATGAGTCAGAATGGACCTACGGCAGTGAAGTATCTAGGTTGAAACAAACAGCCCCTCGTCTTACAAAAGAGAAAACCTAGACCAAGGGAGGTACATAGAATTGCTTAAAATGAGCCAATTCATTAGTTATTGACAGAACTGAGACTAGAATCAATAATCAACATAGCTAATCAAGCTCTAATTTGGAATCTACTAGAATAAGCATATTTGACTGCCTGCTTTGTACTAGTTACGTGCTGAGGAATAAAAATCCTGACTTCTAAAGGTCACCAGGGACAAATTGGTAGTTCCACTGAGTCTGGCTTTTTGACTCCTTGCAAAGAGAAGGAATCCTGGTGGCACAGGGGCTAACAACTAAACGGCTAACTGAAAGACTGGCAGTTCTAATTCACCAGCTGTTCCTTAAAAGAAAGATGTGGCAGTCTGCCCCTGTAAAAATTACAGCCTAGGAAATACTGGGAGAGGGGTGGGAGGAGGGGTGATCTATACAGGTCGCTGATTTGGAATCAACCCAAATGCAACAGGGGTAATGGGGGAAAACACTTCACACCAGAGAAACGAGGCATGCCATGAAACGGGGGAAAGATAGTCATTATAGTATTTAGGAGAAGAGTAAAGTTTAGGTGAATTTTCAATGAAGTAGTGTGTAGGTAAGCTGGAAGCAAAGCAGGGCTGTGTGTACAAAGTGAGCTCAGAGTCCGGTTTACTTGGGAACCACAAAATGAAAATGGATGTGGAATGTTGTATCCAAATAGCCCTTATCTGAAGCTCTACACTTAGTTTAAAATCAAGACTGCTTCTCTCTGTCAAAGATACTTACGTCCTCCAGACAAATGTTGGATATTTTATACTTACTGATATGATTTCAGGCAGCAGAGTTTCTGATAGTTAATGATTTTAGAGAACAAAGAATCTCAGTGAATGAAAAAGCAGTAGCCACTCAAATAAAGAGGTTGTTATCATTTTTCAGCTACAGCTTGTCTTTTGGAGAAATGCTGTTCTCAGTTAAATCTGGAGCTGCCTTTATCTGTGTCTGTTATCCCAGTCTGATGAATGACCGGGTGAATTTTTACTCAGTCTAAGCTAATTTTAACTTTCTCACTTGGTAAGACTTATGGGTGTGAGAGGGGGGTGGTCTGCTACAAGTGATTAGAAAGAATCCAGGACAGTACTGAGTCATTTGATAAAGGTAAAAGCCAAGGGAAGTTAACACCTTATACAACGGTGTACAAACAGGAAATCACATATATGAGGAGCTGTGAATAGTCTTGAATCTGAGTGAAGCTTAGAATAGTAAAGTGTAGGGGAATTGTGGGAGATATAAATAGAAGATAAGGTGAGGCCCAGTTTTGGAGGATCCTGAATGGTACACTGTGATTTGTATTCAATTCAGAAAGTGAAAAACAAATAGGTTTTGATCATGCAAGCAGTCTCTTTACTGCAGTGGTTCTCAACTTGTGGGTCGCGGCCCCTTTGGGGTCGAGCAACCCTTTCAGAGGGGCCGCCCAATTCATAACAATAGCAAAATCATAGTTATGAAGTAGCAACGAAAATAATTTTATGGTTCAGGGGGGTGGTCACCACAACATGAGAAACTGTATTAAAGGGTCGCAGCATTAGGAAGGTTAGAACCACTGCTTTACTGGAATTCTTCTTTAAGAAGTATGAAGTATGAAGTATCTGAACCTTAGTAGGCAGTGAATTTATGCTAATATGAGAGGAACATCTCCGAAAAGCAGAGTGAACAATTGCAAAACTAACAGGATGTGATCAGTGTCACTGAATGGTACATGTAGATACTGTTGAACTGGTGTGTGCTCTCCTGTATATATTCTCAACAACAAAATAAATCGATGTCTTTGAAAAGTGTATTTGGGATGATTGTTCAAGAAGAGGTCTGTTTGTTTGCTCGCTTTTATTGTTACTCTAGGATTGAGGATTTGGAGCTTATTTTCAGTTCCAGCAAGAGGATCCATTGGTGAGAGAAGAAATGAAAAGTCAGAAAAAGAAAAAAAGGTAATTAATGGAGAAAATGCTAAAGGAAATAGAGATGAAATCTAAAATACAAGTTAACCTTGGGAAAGACACCTCCTCATCTGAGACAGAAGGTAAAGGGACTTTATTAGATAAAGTAATTTGCTGACAATGAGAGAGTGGGAACAGATTATAATGCTTTTAAATAGAATAAAATTCACCTTAGGTAACGGAGTGTAAAAAGTAGGGTGGTGTAAATAATTAATGCATTAGGTTGTTAATCTAAAATTAGAGGTTTAAAGAATCAAAAGTGCCTCAGAAGAGAAGCCTGGTGATCTACTTTCCCTAAATTTTGCGATTGAAAACGTTATGGAGAACAATTCTACACTGACACACATATGTGTTTGCCATGAGTCAGAGTCAGCTTGACAGCAACTGATACTTAATGGATATTACAAGCACAGATCATTGATAGCTGCCATCTAGTTGGCCCTGACTCATGGCAACTCTATGCACAGAGATCGAAATGCTGACTTGTCCTGAACCATCTCCATGATCAGTGTGGATCAAACTTATGGGATCCATAAAATTCTCTTAAAAAAAACAAACATTTTATTGGGGGCTCTTACAAATCTTATAACAATCCATCATTCAATGGTATCAAGCACACTTGTACATATGTTGCCATCAATATTTCCAAAACAATTTCTTTCTACTTGAGCCCTTGGTATCAGCCCCTCCTTTTTCCCCACCCTCGTGAAACCTTGACCAATTATATATTATTATTGTTCTTTCGTTTCTCACACTGTCCGTTGTCTCCCTTCACCCATATTTCTGTTATTTGTCCCTTAGGATTTTCATTGGCTGATTTTCAGAAGTTGATTTCAAGGCCTTTTTTCCTAAGAAAAAATTAATCAAGAATAAAAGGTTGCTACAAATAGATATCCCAGAACTTCAATATAGAAGGAGTTGAAGGAAAGCAGTCTGGTTGGAAGGCCACCTCAGCAGAACAATTATATTAGCTTTACTTGGAGTATAAAAGTATAAATTTATTTGGGAGCGTTTGGGTGTGGGTGATCTTTAGAATAAGAGAGCTGTAGTACACTCAGGTCACCACTTGGTGCTGCTCCTGATTTCTGAGCAGTTTGGAGAGCCTCCCCATCCTGTCCCCGCCCACCACCCACCACCACCCCCTCACACACACCCGCAATAAAACTTTCCTGTCAAGGAGTCAGTTGTGACCCATAGTGACCCTATAGGACAGAGAAGACCTGCCCTTGTGCGTTTCTGAGACTGTAGAAAGCCTCATCTTTCTCCCATAGTAGTTTCAAACTGCAGACCTTATGGTTAGGAGACAAATGTGTAACCACTATGCAACCAGGGCTCCCCAGTTGGGTTTTTTTGAAGTACATTTCAAAGGAAATCTTAAACAAATTGTAAAGCAAAATAGCATGCACATGAATCTGTGTCTAGACTGACTGGGTTCAAAACCAACAAAACTCCAGCCACTTTGCTCAAGTCATTGCCACTCTGCTTCAGTTATCTTAACTATCAAATGAGGTGTTGATTGTTACATGCTGTCAGGTTCTGACTCACAGCGACCCTGTGTACAGCAGAAGGAAACATTGCGTGGTCAGCCACTATCCTCACACTTGTCTTGAGCCCATTGTTTTGAGCCATTGTGGCGGCCCCTGAGCCCATCCAGCTCGTTGAGGGCCTGCCTCTCTTTCGCTGTTCCTATGCTTTACCAAAGGTGATGTCCTTCTCCAGGGACGAATCTCTCCTGACAATATGTCCAAAATACATGACACAAAGTCTTGCCATATTAGCTTCTAAGAAACATTTTGGCTGTACTTCTTCCGGGACAGACTTGTTTGCTCTTCTGGGAGGTCAGGCTAAAATGCCATAGTAGAATTGGATTATTAGTAGCTGTAAAGCAGTTAGAACTGAAAGTTAGAGCTTATCATTACCATTGCCATTGCACTTTCAGCCTTTGGGTTCCCAAACTTTGCGGGAACTATTTGTGTGATGAATGAGTGCCTATGCTGCAATACCTTCCAAGTGAAGTAGCTAGAGTATGGTCTTTATAG